TATCTATCTAATCTATCGATATTGTTTATTTAAGACTGCAATGACGTTTAATGATTATGAATTCTTGTTTCAATGTATAGTTTGCTATTTAGATACGTCTAGCAGTTCGCAGGAATAGACTAAATGGCAGACTATTCTAAGCGCTGCTAACGTAATGCACGTGTTGCAGCATCTGTGTGATACATTCAGATGTCTAACGCTCTTGTATGAGAACGCCCGCTATTCTAATACGTCGGCCTCGGAGAACGATCATTTACAAGGAATAAATACAACTTTTGATAAATGCTAAGGCCATAACCATTATATCAGCGATAGCTTAATGGCCAATATCTATCTCAATGCGCGTATAAATGTATCACAGATGATATATGCAATACGTATCTCTAATAAAATTATGTAACACAACGTTAAGTGTTATTATCGTTAATGGGTTGAAGGCTACAAGCGGCTATCTATCAGAATGTGTTCGATTCACCTGATACAGAAATTGGCGTTTTTAAAAAAAAAATATAAATACACATATATTTCGCGATAGTTCCGCAGGTTTTACCTCGTACACGTAGTTATTTATAGATTATTTTTATTCAAACGATAAAATTTGAATATTATTCCACATATATTACTAAGAATACTTACAACTTTGAAATCTCTGAGCGTTTCATCAGTCGAGAATTATTTAAGATATTGCACACTAAAATGAATGATTTTGAGTTTAACAGGGTTTTTACACAGAAATACCTATGTAGGAATATTTCGAAATATCGTTCGAGACAAGGACATTATTAAAGTAGTGAAATGGATGGGACTGAAATTGATTCGTGATGATCTAGGTTAACTGTTAATTTTAATTTTTCCAACTAACGATTCAAAGATGTAAGATGGCTATACCGATGATTGTAGTTCACCGCAAGGCCATCGAAACAACACCACGCAATCATTGTTTTTACCCGATAAGATTGTTGTAATTGAATTAATAAAAAAAAGCGTAATTTGAAAATCAAAAACTATTAATGTCACTCTCATCCCATTCGGAAATCGAGTAAATCGTAGGAAATTTCAGAATAAATTACTGTATAACAAGAAACAAGTTTTAATGAGGACGTTCATTTATTTATTATAGACAAAAAAGTATCACTTATTTTATCAGTTACGTAGGTGCGTCATGGAAATGATTCAAAAAAAATGTCGGGTCTGAAATCACCAAGCATAATTGACGAATAATTCTTAATAATACATAGATCGTGTTATTTGAATCGGATTAATTTGCAATCATATAGCTGTCTTTTACGGGTGAGTTACTTACTTATTCTTTACGCTGGTCTGCTATGGCACCGTGGTACTTATTTAGATGAACATTGATTCTTACAGCGGCATTAAGTGAGCAGAAAACCTTTAGACGTTATATACATTCCGAGCATTTGCAATTGAATTAGAAGAATATTTTGATTAATTATATAATTATCATTTATGAGGAGTTTTGCACATTCCCTATAGACATGTATTTCTTTTCATTAAATATAATATAAATTAATTTATAAGCAATTCAAATGTTTATCAATGACTCCGATGGTCAATCCTGCTGAGTGTCTTTAATTGACAAAGTTATATATATATGAAGATATAAATTACAGTCTCAGTTTATATCAAATCTTACAACTTCTCTATTAAAATTTATATATCCACTCAGCCTTCTTTTAGCTTTTAGCCTTTATTTCTTAAATGTATACAATTATACATAACTTAATTCTGCTTTTGCATACGATTAAAAAAGTTTTTCTTTAACATAAAGCTAAACTTTTTTGATTTAGTGTACCTATAGACTACTATACGATTAAGTAGAGAGAGATTTCTCTTGAATTGATAGATAATAATACCATTTACATACATTACCGTTCTGTAAAAGAAAAAACTTTGCCCTCAATTAGTGAATGAACATAAATATACATATATATATATATATATATATATATATATATATATATTATATCGCAACGCAGGATTCTGCGCCTTTTTTTTCATTATTCTATATATTTTCATTGCACGGTTCTGTTAAACGATCAAAAAAATCATATTATAATTCGTCGTTAAAGACATTAAATAGATCCATTTTTAATATTTTTAGATTCCACTACATATAAATTCAAATATCTTTATTCATTATAGGAGCATTACTCACTTATTGATAGTCAAAATACTACCACTTACAAATACGACCCTTCACACACAAATACGTCAAGTTAGTGTAAGTCCTTCTTGAAAATGATCTGTTAAGTAACAAAGTACCAAATAACTTCCTTATTTGACTGATGAATTAACATATAATTTACTTAGCACTTTATTTACCAGTTAGACTTATTTGAATATTGTAAAACGCAATTCGTCAGATAAGTTGCAAGTAGCTTATTCAGGACTTTACTTGGACATTATGAAACGTACCCAAAGTAAAGTAGAAAAGTGTACATGTATATCCCACCGCTGGGATATCAAAGGCCTCCTGTGAATATTAGGGTATAGTCCACCACACGACCCCACTACTGATTGGCGGACTTCACATATCTTCCGAAACATATTTTTTTTATTATTCCGAAAATTACTTCACGATGAATTCCTTCCTTGAATAAATTATACTGAAAATCAAATAATCAATCTCAACAATGTATTGAAGCTTTTGTCTACTAAAAACAAAAAAAATTATACAAGCGAATAAAGCATTTCGCTGATTATGATAGAATGAGGTGTTTAAAGTGTTTCCTACTTAGACTAAATCTGAATCTTAATTAAATATTTTAAGACTTTAGGTAGCATTTTGAAAAGAATTATGTAAATATATAAAATTCAACATAATTTTCGACACGCAACATATTCAATGCCAAAACCTTGCCCCAAAATGTTTAATGAATTATATGCATCGTTTTAAAAATCTGTAAACACAACTCCAACTGACCCAGCATTTCTGGAAACAATAAATTTTGGTTCATGTATTTATTCGTCAACATTATTTTTTAATATTATATATGATTCTTTTTGAATTTACGATACATAATTATGAGAGAGTATCCGCAGTAGAACCAAGGTAACCGACATAGCTCAGAAGATTAGTATGTTCAGCAGTGGACTCAAACAGGCTGAAATGATGATGATGAATTATAAGAAAAACAGTACGAGAAATTGAAGCACTTAAAATGTAATGAGATATAGTGAAGATGTCGGGACCGAGAGACGCAGGTTTGGCGACATTTTTCGTCAAAATTTTCTAAAAGTAAAATTAATCATGCGATCTCTCTAAATGCATAAAAATCTTACTTCTCGTCACATGGATAGGTATACTGAGTAATAATTATAGGAGGGCGTGGGCTGGTAGACGTCTGAGCTACTGCATCGTCGGGCAGTGTAGAGTCAATAAACTGCAATCAGGTGCAGTGCAACACCGCCTCGCGTTCCTATTGCAGGCTATCTTTTTCATTACTTTGCACCAAGATCGTTTCGATTATCGAAGTTTAATCACCTTTAATCACCTTTCATCTGTCATTTCTTTAGTAATGACGGTGTCGCATCGCGTGACAACGTTTTTTATAGGTCGATAGACAAGAAAATGGAAATATTCGAAGTTCATAAACGACGCTCAATTTTATCAAAACCTCGGACCTTGTTTACGCTTCCCAGTATTTCGTTGGCCTTGTGGATATTTCATTTATTTATTATTTAATGGCTTCGATTGAATTTTGACTCTGACGCCCGGTTTCTGAAACACTGATCATCGTAGATGTCAACTAATCAGCTGTTAAATGGCTTTTCACATTTCATTTTAGTTGTTAATCAGATGGTTAAATTCTCATAATTGATCAGAATGATCTTCTTAATGATCAGAATTATCAATTTAAAGAGTTTAAACATCCTTTTAGTCACTCAAATGACATTTAAAAAGCCATTTGACCGCTGATTGGTTGATATCTACGATAATCAGTGTTTCAGAAACCGGGCATCAGAGTCACAAAATATATGCGTGAACGTTTAATGCGTATTCGAAACGGGAAGCATTTAGCTGTAACTAAAAATGCTAATGTCTATTTCAAACTGCGTATTGTTTTATATTTTATCCTCACCTTCCTTCCTGGATCTCATACCATAAAAATACCTAGGAAGTTAATATTCGTTTCCATTCAGCGACTTTCCCCATTGAAAAAGGATACGTGTTAAGCGCATTGCCACACCTGCAGTCACGCTCTGCCAGCCAATCCGCCGCATGTGGCACCACCGTCCATCTGGACGGAACGACCCAAACAACGACGAGACAAGCGGCACAAAGAGAGAAAACAGGAAACTCAACAATGCCAAAAAACTTTCGATTGTACCGTAGTATTTATATTCAAATTATCATGCCCATCACAGAATTGCCGCCATTAAGCGGTCCATACATTTTCGGGCTTTCGCCATTTTTAAAAATAAAAATAACTGAATGAGAAAATACGAAGTTTTAACCTTTTGACGCCGATTTATTTAAACATTAATTAAGTGAAGCATGCAAATATATATATTTTCTTCTATGAGAAAAAGCCAATTTTATTCCAATCGGCCTTCACTAGAACACGTGATGATTTAATATAGAGAGTACATGTACCCATAACGAATCAAAACACTCGAAAGGATGAACAAACTTTCTTTCCTCTCGGTTGTAAAACGAAACAAGTTTAAGCCTTATTGCGCCAAAGCGTAACAAATCGATCGATGGCCCTTGCCGAAGAGTTCAACGCGTTGGTGCCTTTCAGAACCGAGCTGTGCTCTAGACTTGTTCCGCGCGACGGCTTTCTCACCGTGGATCAAGTCGCTCCATTATTATTACAGGACGGTTCAAAGCGACATTGGGCAGTGCCATAAACGTTAATCAAGATGAACAGAGCGTATTTCTCTGACAAAAGAACGTGTAATGGCCAGACCATTTGTCCTATGGGAGCCACTCGCTCCTTTTTAAGGCTTATCTTAGAAACCGCTTCTGGAACACAATGGAGCGAGGCGGGATTAGGTGCGAGTGCTTACAACGCTACTGTGGTTATTTTGCTTAAGTCCTATCCTACTAAGTGATCATTTCACTACCCTTTAACGCACATCTGATATGTTAAGACCGGATTTACGAGCAACACTTATCTATTTATAGTTGAGATCCGTATGTTTAATGTTTTTTGAAGCTTTCACATAAAACTGTGTGTAATCTATGAGGCTATTCCTTATGTCTAGTCGAGAATGATTGAATATTATCGTACTTTTTACTGAATCGCGACGGTTACGGTTTTTAAATTCAATTGTTTTCAAATCAAAACTGATCATTTCTTTTTGTTTGTAGAGTTATAATGTGGCCGTAATAATGTCGACGTGTTGAGATTAATAGACATTTATCATTAGTGCAAAGTATAATCGCAAATACGCTAGGCATGAACTGGAAAAACCGTTCTACAGAGAATAGCTAACTAACCGCTTAATTATTATTCAATGTAACAAGACTGTGGAATTGAAGCGTGAATCATAGAGCCGATTTGAATTGAATGATATTTACTATGTAAATCGATTTGTAGTCACGAAACTATCCACTTATAAATAAATGAAATTGGGCTAATAGATTCGGTGTTACTCCCTTGGGTCCCATCGGTGTCGGGCGCATTCTTGTAGGCGCCGCGTAATTGCATCACGGCAGCGTCGAGCGAAGGAGTGGCGGCGCCTCGCGGACGACACGGCCAAGATTCGGTGGCAACGCTCACGCTGGAATTCATTTAGCTTCGAGAAGTGTCCGGTTTCAGTCTGGCACGGCGAGCGTTCGTGTTGCACTTACTATTTGTTCGTGTGTCGGGCGGGCAGGTTCTACGGCGCGGGGCCGGGGGCGATGCGGGGCCGGCGCGGGGGGCGGCGCGGCCGGGGGCATACTTACTACGTGATTAATCCGCGCCCCCCGGCCTGCGGGGCCGGCGCGCCGTACTCGCGCCGGGTTTCCTCGTCCCCGCGCCTCACGGCCACTCACTACGCACGGCGGGCCGCGTAGTGCCGCCGTCAGTCGCGCCGCGACCCGCGCCGACGTCGCACCGCTCACGAGCCCCGCGCGCGCCAACGCCGACCAGTGATATCATTCATGCCAATCTCCGCCCGCCGTGTGCCGAGTGACCGCGCACCGGTGTCGCCGTCGCGTGTGCCGAATGTACGTGGACTTTTCCGTCGGACAGAGAGCGCGCCCACGAGACCAGTTCGCGGTGGCGGACGGGAGTTCAGCGCGAGCGCCAGTGGACCGCGGCCTGAGATGCTGCGCCCGTGACCGTCCTGCGACAGTGCCACGAAACGTAAGGAACCCCACGCCCGCTCGGGCGGTCCGCATTAATACCGGCCGCCTTCCTATTTGCATGGCGCATACGAGTGGATTTTATTTTCGTCTGGCGGCCGCTGTGTGCGTGCGTGTGCGGGCGGCGGTGTGCGCGGGCCGCGTGTGTGCGGCGCGCTCCACCCGCCGAGGCGGCTGCTCCTAGTCCGCTTTATTTAGGTTGTTTCTGTGCGTGGCGACCCCGCTAGGCGCCCGCGCCCGCCTGCCGCTCCACATACAAGCTCCACTACCTGCCATCGACGTGTCGCTTGGCGTCTGACGTTGGCAACGTCAGACGCCTCCACGCGACTGGTGTTGCCTCTTGCCAGCTGTCTAAATCATTCCGTTTCTAAATATTACATTTCGAATCGGCATTAATCTCATTATTAAGTGTATTATTTTACTGTCTTTGTATCATAGTGTGGATTTGAATTTCGCAATGACAAACAATGTCACATGTTTTATACACCCATATTTAACTTTATCAAATTTAACACAATAAAGTTCCTATAGGAGTGAATGTGATAGAATTGATTAAGTTGCAGAACCTTGAGAACGTCCTTTGGAGAAATATTTACTTTAGAAACTGCACACATCTTGAGATCAAATTAGGAAAACAATTGAATTTAATTTATAGGTATTCAAACAAGGCATGTTAAAGTATTCACTCGCCAACTCATTCAGTACGATGCGTGCGACAATAAAGATTTATATTTAAAAATTCGTCACACGCTGCCAACTTCATTCTTTTCAAAAACAGGAAGTTGAACACGATTCCATGGATGCCTAAAACTTTGCATCTGGTCTTCATTTAATGAAAACGACCACATTTTTTTGATTTACATATTTTCTTTTTTTTTCTTTGTTAATAAAATAAAATTAAAAACTTTAACCCATCATAACATTTATTACTATACTTTGTAATATACTAATAACTTAGTTGAAACGAGCCGAGCTCTACATTGATTTATGGACAGAGTACACGATAACAGAAATAGTTTAGTTTGCACTTAAAACTGTTGAGAACAACACTGATTCGTGTAATTAACGAGATGAAATAAGAGCGAGGAGGAAAAGTACAAAGGCGATTGTCGGCGCATTTAGTGCGATGCGATAAACTTTGGCCCTAACGTACACATGTTGCGGGGTTACTGCGAGTTTATTTAAAAAATATAGGACTTATTCAAAGCGAGCTTCGTCTTAGACAACTTTCAAGCAATTTCGGCAGAAACAAATAGCGATAAAACATTTTCGAACGATGGACAACTGCCTACATATATGTTTTTATGTAAATGTAGAGACAAATACAAACAAAGTAGAGAATAAATTGAAGCTTGGTCAACCTACACACACTTGTTGAGACGTGTATCTCATATTGACTCTTGTTTCATTAGCCGTGGCACTTGCAGAAGACAGATAATGTACTTTCATTTAACTACATCACAAGAAACTTCAACGTCTCACAAGTTGAAGTTTTGGATAGCTCATTTCGTATAAAAACAAAATATTGGCAATATTAATATACATATTTGGTATATGTAGAATTATTAGTTTGAACTTGATTCCCTTTTTGTTCCGTTTTCCGTAATAATTTATTTAAATTAAAATGAATTTGGGAAATGACTTTATTATGTGGTTATGTTAGGACGTATAAAATTGACATACTTTAAGATCTGAATGATGTCAGTTTTTAGCTATCTTTGCATAGATACGAAAAGACGGCATAATTTTAGGGTTACGTACCCAAAGGGTAAAACGACACCCTATTACAAGACTGCGCTGTCTATCTGTCACCAGGCTGTATCTCATGAACCTGATAGTTAGACAGTTGAAATGTTCATACATGTATTTCTGTATGCTGCTATAACAACAAGTACTAAAAAGCAATATTAAAAAATCTTTAAGTGGGTACATGATTTTCTGTCGTTTTTAAAGATAATGTACGGAACCCTTCGAGCTCGAATCCAACTCGCACTTGCCTGTTTTTATGTTATCCTTTATTTGACAAAGTCTCAGATTATCGTTTTCATTCTACAACACGTTACGTGGCTGTACCAAAATCGTAACAACACGAGTACGCCTGGCTTAGTATGCCTTGCAGAAATTCTTTTTCATCGCGTTATCTTATCACGCGCCGCCGTGGAGTGTTGCAGTGTTTATACAATTATGTAAACGTTGCGTGAGTAAGTTGCTAGTAATTCATCCGCCCGATCATACAAAATGACGACGCAAGTTTCAAATAGCATACGGAACATATGTTAAAGTTTCGCAACATTCGCTTATGACCATGTTTATTATCAACTAGCGACCCGGCCCGGCGTCGCACGGGTCTAAGCGTACATAGGGACAGACAAACAGCGGGACGACTTTGTTTTATACCATGTAATGATGCACAGCAAAGAGACGTTTACATTTCAAATGACATTTTACCACAGTCACTCACTTGTTTTGCTTTCCTGGAACCCCTTTAAGTATTATTACGAATCTTTTGTACGGGAATATAGAAAAGTGTTGTTTTTCTTTCACAAAAACCTTCTCCTTATAGTAATAAACACAACAAAAAAAATGAAATCGGTTCAGCCATTCACGCGTGATGGCGTGACCAAGGGAAATAGGGATTCATTTTTTTATATAGGTATATAACTATCAACAATAAATTATGATAAGAATGAGCCTCCCAATAGACTAAAATGGTATGATTCCTTGAAAGTACTACGGCTATACTTCTAAGTACAATCTCGTGAAGTTAAGTCAACGCGTTAGGTTAAGATCGGGCGAACAACTGCTCACTTGGCACCTTCTCTCAAAAACCCGTTTGTGATACGGAATAGTCAGTGGTTAACGCTAGTAAAAGCAAGTCCTTTACCGTCCTTTTCATCATCTCATCTTTGGTGTTATTTGTTTGGAGTTGCGATTTTAAAAAAAATAACATTTGTAAATTACAAAAGGTATAGCTTTTAAACTATACAACATTTTTAGGTCCGGTACCACCATGAAATGTTATATTCGTAATACCTGACCGTCATTTTATAATGTTTTCATAAAATACCAACGGAATTATCAATGTATAAATTTAGACACGGAAAGTATGTATTATTGCATCATTTGTACAGAATTCATTCACTGTCAATGTTTTGTTTATAGCAAAGCAGTGACAGTCAAAGAACATATGCAAAGTATAACTGGTTATGTTAAATCATTCGCTATATTTAGACATAAAGTCATTTTCCATAAGATATGAGTACAGTTTGGGCAATGTATTCTCAAATGAGGATTACTGTATAACTTTAAAACTTCAAATGTTGTATGCTCTTCATTAATAAATAAAATACTCTTTATAATTTTGTATAAAGTTATATGAGGCGCAGTTGCCGAGCTCTTAGCTTCATTATAAAGGCATTAGAAGGAAGATATTGCTGTATAAAAGTAAATAGACAAACTATTTTATTAGAGCTTCACCGTGTATAAGCACATATTTCATCTTCACCATCAATATAATAGCATTATTTTTCATGGTGAAGGTTTCAGTGGTAAGGAATCTTTAAGGTCTCTAAGGATTCTTTGAAGTTGGACTTTTCCAATCCTTTGATCTTGAAGGTTCTTAAGGCAATATATTCTTCTCCGAAGCTCGCGTGCGGTTTCGGAGACTATTTGTATATTTTTAAACAGTTGTACGATAATCGTCGTTACAAGACTTGCGTGTGTGGAACTCCGTTGGCCCCTAAAACAATTATGAACTCTAAGCAATAAAGCATCCATGCCACGACATGGGAGTGTAGCAAACGTTGTGCGAGCCGCTTCGGCCTTCGACGTGAAACATTAATTGTGTTGTGAAAATAATCGCGAATGCCCGGCTGTTGCTTTTTAGGGTTACGTACATACGTACAAAGGGTAAAACGGGATCCTACTACTAAGACTCCGCTGTCTGTGTGTCTGACCGTCTATCACCAAATCATGAACCGCGATAGTTAGACTGTTGAAAGTTTCACAGATTATTTCTGTTGCCGTTATAACAAAAAATACTAACTTATTATAACAGAATAAAATAATAATTTATTTAAGGGGGCTCCCATACAACAGACATGATTTTTATGCCACTTTTACAGATAATTAATTGTACGAAACCCTTCGTGCGCGATTCCGACTCGCACTTAGCCAGTTTTTTCACCCAAATATGCTAACGTTTGACTACCAAATCACTTGACGATACATTTTGAAGTAATCTTAGGTTGTAATCGCACTAGCGTAAGTAGTCTATTCACTCCTGTCTTGCCCTAAAATCGACCTTGACGATCTGACGCTGGCAAATTGTTCTACTACTCCTTTGATATACGACCCTCCACAATTTTAATTTAAAAAGAGCAAGGAGTTGAATCCACAATATTTGTACGTGAAGCGAGTGATCATTTTTTTATGAAAAGCTGGAAAGGGAGTAGACGATTCACCTGGTGTTGAGTGATTTCAGTCGCCAATGGGCTTCGAAAACATCGTTTATAGATGGGTTGCCAACCGTCAAAAACGGGGGGCCGATTTTATGGGTCGTGGTACTTCTCTGGACGACCCTGCCCATACGTGCATCAGCTGAAGCTATTAGCTGAACCATGATAATAAATTGAAATTGCCGTTGTCTCGTTCGCCAGAAGACACGCAAAAGTATTACACTTCACGCCGGTCTTACTTGAGGTCGTGGTACTTCCCCGGACGAGCCCGCCCATACGTGCAACAGAAGTTATAAGCTGAACCATGATAATATCCTAAACAGGGGAAATTAAATAAACTTACTTTTCTTAATAAAATTAATGTGAAACTTAATTCTTTCGGTACAAAATCGTTTTATAAATACACACGAGTAACGCAATTTATCAATAAGATTACCTCTTGCTCGTAATAACGGTTGTTTGTTAAGATAATTGTGTGGACGGGGAGCGCCACTAATTGCCTCTAAATTCGAACCGATAACACTCATTTGTTCTCGGCAAATAACTTGATATTATAGATGTTACGACGACAACCGTTATACACCCAACTCGGAGTACGTTATTTTTCGTAAGAACAACACTAACGCGCTCCGGCAAACATATGTTTCGTCTTCTTCATACGCGATTTCGCATCGCGACCAACGATATGTAGTGACTTAAATAATCTTCGTCCACATTTCTTAAG